TACTTTTTCTCAGACTATCTTTTTCTCAGATACTCAGACTGAGTATCTTCTGTCAGTCTGTCTTCAAGTTTAATGATTCCTCTGTCATCTCCACTCTACGAAGTCTATCCTGTAAGCTTTTAGGTTGCAATTCTTAGGCTTCTCAGATCTGTAATTTTCATTTTTTAGAGCTTCTTTTCCTTTCCTGAGGCTGTCCTCCCTCCCTTCCTCTCTCCCTCCCTCCTTCCATCTAGCTTCCTTCCTCTCTCTCTCTCTCTCTCTCTCTCTCTCTCTCTCTCTCTCTCCCCCCTCTTTCTTTCTGTGACCATTGAGGCCCTTTCATGACAGGCCTTACAGTGCTTGTCAGATCACCCCAACATCTGATTCATGTCAGTACTGGCGTCAGTTTTCTTCTCTAACTCATATTGTGGTTTTCCTGGTTCTGGGAACAATGAGTGATTTTTTTTTTTCCTACTGCACCCTTCATATTTTGGTTATCGGGTTAGGGGACCTCTAATCCTCCTTAAATCTTCAATTTTAATAGGTGGTCACCCAAGTTAGCATGTAGGTCCTGTTTCCCTCTGTGGGCTTTAGTTCTGGCAGTAGCCCAGTTTCCTGGGCCCTTGCAATCCCATCCTGGTCTGCTCTGCACCTCGGATGCTGCTTCGCTCCCATGCTGTTCCTGCCCTGCCTCTCGTAGCAGAAGACCCCTTTCTGCTTTGGGTTTTTCTAGGTCACTTTTTAGGAAGAAAAGAAAAAAATAAATAAAACAAAGTCTCTTTATGCCACCAGGTAGAGGGTGGAAGACACAGGGCTTTGCCGATGTCACCACCCCAGCTCTGGTTGTAGAATGGGGTCTGGAAACTTCCAGGGTTTTGCTGTGACTGCTGCTGAGGACAGATAACATTCTGGCCAGAGTCCTGGCTGTGGAATAGGAGATGGGATGTCCAGGATTTCACTGCTCTGCTGATGCTGGTGGATTGCATAGTGCAGGTTGTGGTGCAGGGGCTGCAATTTGAAGTTGTATGTGGGGTTGTTGTGGGTGTGTGCACAGAGGCCAGAGGAGGGCATCAGGTGGCCTGCTCTCTCACTCTCTGTTTTAGTCAGTAGAGACGAGACCTCTCATTGAACCTGGAGCCAGGCTGGCAGCCAACAGGGTCCTTATGTCATGCTGGGGTTGCAGGCACATGCATGTCTGGTTTTTTACATGGGTGCTGGGGATTCAAACTCAGATCCTCACACTTGTACATAAGCAATCCTGCCCACTGAGCCATCTCCCCAGTGTCAACATTTTGAATTTTTAATTTGATTTCTCAGCTTTCCTCTCTCCGGGATTAGTTTATAGGATCTGGAGTCTAAATCAGTTATGACTCAAGTATCTGTTTTTGGGCTTCTAAAATTTTGTTTCCCTTTCTGTTCTCCCTATGGGGGTGTGTTTCCCTCTATTAATTCTTTTATTGTGTTTTTCATGGACTTTTGGGAGCAATTGAAATCAGGTAGTTATAGTCAACACTCCATCTTAAACAGAATTCTGGGGATGAAACTCAGGGCCTTGTCATGCCAACCAAGGACTCTATCTCCCGTCCGTACCAGGCCCTTCCTCCTGTCTGTGTGTACTTAAATTCCTTACCTTTATCCCAGTATTATTTGTGATCCTAGCTTTTTCTCCTCCTGTAAAGTCAGACTTTGAATCAGAGCTTTGTCCATTTATTTTTTATTTTTATTGGATTTTTTAAGGCAGCCTTTACTGGAGCTATATTTGCATTTCATTAATTTATTTTTATAAAATCCCTCCTCCTCCTCTCTTGGTACTGTCCTGCTCAGCTCATTTGTTTTCAATTGTCTTTACTTCATAAAATTTCACAAGACTATTTTTCCTCCGTTTTCTTTTGGCTGTACTCACTAAATTTTAAGATATAATACTCTAATGGGTATTGCTTAAGGAATTATTATTTCACTTTGTGTTTCTTTAGCAAATAGGGATTTGTGAGTTGTTTTCTTTTTAACTGACTGACTTTGGAATTCTGGGTAGGTTGTAGTAGGGTAAGGGTCAAACAGGATGAGGCTACTTTTTCCAATTAATTTCTCAGTTATTACTTGATGCTAACAAACTATTCAGTGTAATTCCTGTACTTTAGAACTTACTTAGATGTTCTTCATGGCTAAGTAAATCAATACTGGTAAGTTCTTCATGCATATTTAAAGAGAAAAGTCTTGAGAGACTCTCACTGTTTCGTGTAGACAATAAAGAAAAGAACTTTCATTGAAGCTTTGAAAAGAAGACATTGATTGAGTACTTATTTTGGGTCATGCCCTGTCGCTGTTTGGGACCATTCAAATCTTTCATGTAGGGGACTACTGCTCTGCACATCGTGGGATGCTTAGTAGCATCTTTGGCCTCTACCTTTTGATGCTCACATCCCCACCAGTTTCAACCAAAAATATCTCCACACATTGCTAATTGTCCTCTGGGTACAAAGATTACCATTGCACTGTTGTAAGGGTTCCCATCAGCTTAAATGCACCTTATGTGATAGATTCTCTTATTGTGTCCCAATTTTGCAAATAACTATGAACATCGAGTATCCAAAAACAGAAGCCTGGGGAGGTTAAATGGAATTGAAGCATCATTTGTAATTACAAAAAACCCAAAATATAGAACCCAGAATCAACTTAAATGTCATTCAATATTTTGTGGGGCAGGAATACTAAGAAATATGGAACATATCAACTATTTGATAGATTTATGATAAATAAGTCTCAGAACAAACACTGAAAGAAAAAGGTAGCTGAGTATAAAATGTGCAACATCACTTCTAATCTCTCTGAGGAATCTAGTTTTCCTTGCCCCTTGTTTCTGGTGTCCAGAACTGTCCCTATGACTGGGGGTCTCTTTTTCTTGGCCTTTTTTAAGATTAATTAATTAATTTATTTATATTTTATGTGTATGAGTGTTTTGTCTGCATGTATGTTGTGTATGCATGCAATGCCCATAGAAGCCAGAAGAGGGTTTCTGATTCCCTGGAACTGGAGTTAGGGATGCCTGTAAGCCATGTGGGTGCTGGGAACCAAATCTGGGTCCTCTGCAAGAGCAGCCAGTGCTTTTAACCACTGACCCTCTCTCCAGTCCCTTGGCTTTCCTTTTCAGGAAGCTGGTTTTCTTCAAGTGTCAGTGGTTGGCCCTCTTCCTTCTGTTCACATTTATATGAAAGAGAGAAGTAGGATATTGGGGGTAGGACTTGCTGACCAATGGCCTTCACCTTAGGGCAGATCAGGATTACAGATGGCAGACATACTTCTCTTAGCCTGACTCTGTTGGGCATTGCTGGGCAGCCTGGAAAGGCACCTGAACTCCCCTTGGTTGGGTGGTCTTGAGGACTTCGAAGGGTGGTGCTGCAGCCTCATTCACTGTCTTCCCATTTCTCTGTGGGACCCTTCAACCTGATGTACCCTGTCCTTTATGTCAGGATCTAGGGGATCCTATAGCCTTTATGCCTTGACTCTCATTTTCACAGTGTTGGGAAAACAGCAGACATTTGATTAATGTACGCAGCTGTCAGTCTCCACTCAAGTATTTGTTTCCAGCTACTAGAGTATTGCTGATGTTCCCTTCCCTTTCTTCCCCATGCTTGTAAGCGTGTGAGTGTGCAAGAGCACACATTCATCCCTCAGTACCTGCAGGGAGACACCAAAGCCCAAGGGTGCTTACGCCCTTTTTAAAATGCACATAAATGTGCATATGTGTGAATTTGGGCATAACCCATGTAGATCCTCAAATGTACTTTATTTTTCTTTAAACACAGAAATTTATTGTTTTATGTGTATGCATGTATTGTTTGCACGTATGTAAGTGCACCCATGTTGAGCAGTAGTCACGGAGGTTAGAAGAGGATGTCAGATCCCCTGGAAGTGGAGTTAAGGATGGTGTTAGCTACCATGAACCTGGGTCCTCTGCAAGAACAGCCAGTGCTCTTAACCACTGGGACCTCTCTCCGACCCCCTTCCATGTACTTTAAATTATGTCTAGATTTCTTATAACACACTTTACATATTGTTCAATGTAAATAAATTCTGTATAAATTATTAAGAGAACAATGACAATTTTAACAAGCATGGAAGCTTGTCTAGAGCCTACCCCGGTCCCAGGGCTGGCCAGGTCCTGAAGGGCATCTTCCAGGCTTTGTCTATGTTGAGTAAATGCTTGCTTAGAAGAGCAAAGAACCACATGTATGTGGGTGGTCCTAACAGCTCATTTCCAGTTTATAAAGGCTGCCTGGAGGATTCTATCAGCAAGATTTATAAGCCATTGGCACAGACAACAGGCTAGTGTTGAGATTCTCCTCCACTTCTCAAATGTGTGATTTTTAGAAATGCCACCTCCACTGTTTGAATCTCACTTTCCCCATCAATGAAATGAGAACAAGGCTCTCTTCTGTAAAGTGCTGGGAAAATGAGAAGAGATACTCTGTGGCGTCCCTGTTCTGGGTCCAAGGGGGGGAGGTGGGTGGCGGGGGGAACTCTTAGGTAGGTGATGTAATTCCTCTACATGCCACGAGGTGGAGCTATTGGCATCCTTGACTAAGCGAGGTAGCATTCAACGAATGGTCAGCTCCAACTCCTACATCTCTTTTATTTCCTTTTGTTTTAAAATGATGGCCTCCCCTTGGAGATAGAATCAGTCTTTGGTGATAGAGCTAGATAGCATGCTCACTTTTAAAAGTGTTGAATAATAATTGTATGTGTTCACAAGGTACAGCATGGCACTGTGATTCCTATTTGCAAGGAGGAATTGATTAAATTAGGCTAATTAACAAATGCATCACCTTACACACTTACCCCCCCCATGCACTGAAAACATATAAAATTGACTTTAGCAATTTTGAAATATATGATGCATTATTATTTGTTCTCACCACCATTTTGTGCAATGAAATATGTATATTTGAACAAGTGATGTTAGTCGAGTGATATGATGAAGTTCTTGTCTTTGTATGTTGATTGTCTTGGGTATTTTGCCACAGTGACAGAAAGCTCACGTGCGAGAGCTACGCCTGCATCTGCCACCAGATGCTGGACTCTTCCCAAACTTCAGGTATGTGCCCAGTTCCTCCAAAACACTGTCCCTGGGTATCTAGGCTCCACCTGTTTTGTGGGGTTTTGTTGTTGTTGTTGTTGTTTGTTTGTTTTTTATGTGTATGCATTTCCTGCATGTAGGTAAGTGCACCCGTGTCATGCAGTGCCCACGGAGGTCAGAAGAGGCTGTCGGATCCCCTGGGACTGGAGTTACGGAAAGTTGTTGGCTGCCATGTGGGTGCTGGGTTTCGAACCCAGGTCTTCTGCAAGAACAACCAGTGTTCTTAACTGCCGAGCCATCTCTCCAGCCCCTGTTTTGTGGTTTTTAAAATGTATTTATGTGTAGGAGGTCAAAAGAGGATATCAGATCCCCTGGAGCTAGAGTTACAGGTGGTTGTGAGCTGCCCAGTATGGGTGCTGGGAACCAAACTTGGGTCCTCTAGAAAAGCAACATGTGCTCTTAACCACTGAGCCATCTTTCCAGTTTGCTCCCCAAGGGTTTTGGTTTTTTTGTTGTTTTGTTTTGTTTTGTTTTGTTTTTGAGACAGGATCTCCCTGTAGCCCCAGCTAGCCTGGAACTCACTATGTAGAACAGGCTGGCCTTGAACTCATAGAGTTCTGCCTGCCTCTGCCTCCCAAGTGCTGGGATTAAAGGTATGCACCATCACACCTAGCACTACTAAAGTTTTTAAGAGTTAAATGGAGCTCACATATTTCCACACACATGCATGTGTTCCCATTCTATAGTTGTTTCTCTGTCCTCTATCATGGGTGCCAATGTTGCCACCTTTTCAACAGCCAGAATCCTAGTTATTCTACTAAACCAAGGTTGGTCAAACTTCTTGTCATGCATAGGTCACTTCTAGGTCTTGCAGATATTGAACAATATTGCAGATATTGGGTAGTAGAGAATGAGGAAGAAGATGGGGTGGTCTCAGAGAAGGGACTATGCTAGTTTTCTTTCTGTTGCCATGATGGAATACTCTGACTAAAAGCAACTTGGATGAGGAAGGTTTATTTTAGGTCACAGTCCATCATTGGGGCAAGTCAAGGCAGGCAGTCAAGGAAGGGACCTGTGGCATACCTGCTTGCTATCCACACAGCATTACCGCTGACCAAGAAACTCACTTGATAGCCAAAGAAGTACAGCAGGAACCACGGAGGATGCTGCTGACTGGCAGGCAGGCAGGCTTATACTCAGCCAGCTTTCTCACATGGATCAGGACCACCTACCTGAGGATGGTACTGCCCACAGTGGGCTGGATGCTTTTACATCAATTAACAGTTCCCCATAGATGTGTCCTCAGACCACTCTGATCTAGGCAATTCCTTAACTGGTGACTCTGGGTTGTGTCAAGTTGACAGTTAAGGCTAACCAGGGCAGGGACTGAGGCTATAGGTGACACTTGGGAGTTCCAGATAGCCTATATTTCATTACAGGTGACTTTGGCACCATGGGGATGCTCAGGTTTATACCTTCTGTCTTTAGAATTGCCAGACCCCATAGTGAGCTGTTCATTTGACATGTCTACCCAACCCCTCGCTGGCATCTCACACCTCTACATCTCCAAAGGCACTCAGCCTTCTCCACTCTGCCCTGTGTCTGCTGCTGAATTTGCCTCGAAGTAGACTACATGTTGTGTCACGTGTTCTAACCTGCTCTGTAGATAAGGTTATTTCTTAATGTCAGAAGCTGGACACCCCTGCTTCCTGGTCACTTCTGCCAGAATCCTTCCCCTTTCTCATCTCCCAAGTGTTGTTGATCCTGCTCTTCCAATACATTCAGTTCTCATTACCACTGCAGCCAAAGTGGTGGCCTGGCATCCAGTCTTGACGTTTCCAACCCATTTTGTCCTGAGCAAGTTAGTTACTCTATACTTCCACGTCTAGTGCTAGCTTCCTGTAGCCCTTGATCACAACCCAAACCTGTCACCAGGTCCTCAGCACTACCAGATCCTACCCCCCTCCTCTGTCCCCCCCACACTAGCTTCCCAGCTTTCCTTCTCCATCCCAGTCAGGCCATCTTTCTTTAGCTTCAGAATTCCTGCATGTCCTTGGATCTCCTTCCATGCCCCAGAGGCTTACCTGTTCTTCATGCACTGAGTTCTACATCATGGATTAGACCAACCCTAGACTTAAATATTCAAAAAGTTGTGTCTACACTGAACATGCACAAATTATTTTCTTGTCCATGTCTCCTAAACAATACAGTATGATAATTGTTGATTGGGCCAGTAAGCTGACTCAGCAGGTAAAGGCACTTGCTACCAAGCCTGATGACCTGAGTTCCATCCCTGGGATCCACATGGTGAAAGGAGAGAATGACTCCCACAAATTGTCCTCTGACCTCCACATATGTGCTGTGGCACAAGTACAGTCAAACTCTTCCCCTACACATACACACAAATAAATTAAAGTCTAATTTGAAACTTAAAATATTTATAGAGAATTTACATTGTGTTGGATATTATAAGTCATCTAGAGATAATTTAAAGAGAACAGGAAGACATGCATGGGTTATATGTAAATATTAAACCATTTTACAGGAGGGACTTGAACAGTTGCAGATTTGGGGGGTATTCTGTTATAAAACACTAAACAAACCAAGAAGCTAAGATGAGCTCAGACCTAGGGGATCCCAGTAGGAGCCAGCTGTAGGCTGGCCCAGAGTTTAAGGGTTAGGATCAGGGCACATGGAGCAGAGCCTGGGCATTTTCTGGGGAGGGGGTCCTGTGTGGGGTCCTGGAACCAGTCCTTCAGGATATCACTGGACAAGTGTGTTTCCTTCATAACAGATGTCACTGTTGTCACTGTGGATTTGCTCATTTTCCTGGCTATTGTCTGCCTCTCCCTCATGACTGTCAGTTCCATGCAGCAAGGACAGCAGATGACATTTTTTTCCAGGATGGCTGGTGCCACATCCTGTATTCATGTCAGTGTTGAGTGACTGCTCAATGTGTTCCAGGCTCCGGAGACATTCTAGGTCCCTCTGACCGGAGTGCTCAGGAAGAACTTCCTGGAGAGCCTTCTTGAGATAAAGCTGGAGAAGGGGCCAGTTTTGTGTAAAAATAGACTATTTCAGGCAGGATCAAGTGTGAGAGATGAAGCTGAAGTGTGATTATAGGAGATGGAAGAGACTGACCTGTTAAAAGGGAGGCCATGAGAATGGTTTCAGGGGATGGGGAATGCAGATGGCCTCAAATGTCAGAGGGATGGGGCTGAGCCCAGGAAACCTCAGAGGCCTCTGAGCAGTCACAGTACTGCTAGTCCAGCCAGGCTCTGGTTCTGATGCCCTGTTCCTGACCCAGTACTGTGGGCCAGCCCTGGGACCCACCCAGGTCTGAGCTCCCCTCAGCTTCTGTCTTGGTCCATTTAGTGCTGCTGGAACCCAATGCCAAAGATGGAGTCATTTCTTATGAAAAGAATTTTTTTTCTTGGTCTTTTTGAGACAGGGTCTCCCTGTAACCCCAGCTAGTCTGGAACTCACTACCAGGCTGACTTCAAACTCACAGAGATCTACCTGTCTCTGCCTCCCAAGTGCTGGGATGAAAGGCATGTGCCACCATGCCCAGCCAAACAGAAATTTATTTGACTAATGGTTCTGGAGATTGGGAAGTCATGGGGGTCTTAAGTGTTATCCCATGGCAAAAGGCAGAGAAGGGGAGTGGGAGACGGAGCGGGAGAGGGAGAGGAAGAAGGAGAGGGATGGGCGGGGGGAGAGACTGAGACTTGCTTTTTATAACACGCCTACTCTCAATATAATGAATCCATCCATGAGAATGGTGTGAACCTGTTTATGACGACCAAGCCTTCATGGCCTGAACATAAAGAGCTCGTGTCTTTTGCATGGAAGATGAAGTTTCTTTTGTTTTATTTTTTACAATGATTGATGGATTGATTATATGTGGAGATCAGAGGACAACTTGCAGGAGTCAATTCTCTTTCCACCACATGGATCCTGGGGATGGAACTCAGGTTGTCAGGCTTGATGGCAAGTGCCTGTACCCACTGAGCCATCTTGCTGACCCAGAAAAAGTTTCAAGCACATGAACTTTAGGGGACACTTTTATTTGATTTTTAATTTCTGATTTTTGAGAATTTCATACCTGAGTGTTGTCTTTGCATTAACTCCGCCCATGTTCCCCGTCCCTCTTAACTTCTTGTCCTCATCTTTATTATTGTTACATATACATACATTTATATATCTTTACATATATATGTCCATTTAGTGGTGCATATGTGTACCTGTGTTTAGGGCTGCCCATTTGGGATTAGACAACCACTCAGGGAGATAATCCCTGTTGAAACAGATTTCCCTCCCTCAGCATCCATTGATTGCCTGTAACTCTTCACCTTGAAATTTGACCCTGTGTCATTCCCTCATCCACCTTGGCATGTCCACAGGGTTTGTCATTCTGCAGATCTTGTTAGCTTACCATACAGTGGAGCTTCCATGGGTGCAGGTTCCCTATCATGTCTAGAATGCATTAACAGGCAACAGGTGTCTTAGGGACACTTTTCAACCACAGCAGTCCTGGAGCCTTTGTGGACTCTCCTGTTCCCTGTGTCAGTTACCATCCCTTTTCCAACTCGATGCCTATCAGCCCCATTTTCTTCCAGTCCAGATTCAGTAATCCTCCCAGCCTGTTCCCACCTGCGTGGGCCTACTGGTGCTTTAGCTACACTCTGAACCCTAGCTTTTTTGTCTGAGACTGAAGAGGGAACATTTCCTCTCTGTTGATGTGAGGTGCTTTCCCTGTCATATCTTCCAGGCCAGTAGGGGAGGCAGACCAGCTGGGGCAGTCCCCATGACCACAAAACATTCTCCTCTGGCCCTGAATACACCCAAGACATGCCTTTCTCCTTGCACCACGCTGTTGGGCGGCTTTCTGAGTCACACTCTCCCTTTAGTTCCCTGCACTTCTATCTTGAGTGCAGGGCAGGGTATGGCCTCACCCTGAGACCCCTGGACACCTCTCCTCCCTCCCATTACTTTTCCTGATCCACTTCAGTTCTTTGCTGAACGCTGTCCATAGCACTCACCCAGGGCTTCCCAGCTGTGGCCGGCATGGGAAGTTAAGATGAGAGAGACAATCTACTTCACCCCAGCTCTCTGGCTTTTGGAAAGCCCTGGGGAATTCCAAACTCCTCATTGGCCCCTGCCCAAGCCACCACACCTAGCCTCCCCCAACAACACCCCAGCCTTGCCTGCAAGCGCCTTCCACTGTTACCTAGTCTCTAGGTCCCAAGGCCCAGCCTCTGCCTCAGGAGTCTCCCCCAGAAACCAAATCTTAGAAATGGTAACACTGGGTATTATACACAACTTTGTTGATTCATTGCTCTGTGGGGAGAGGAGTCTCCTTTTTAAAATTTTAAAAATTTGTTTTATGTGTTATGAATGCTTTGCCTGCATGTATGTAAGTGTACTTGTATTGTATAATGCCTGCAAAGGCTGGAAGAGGGCATAGGGTCCCCTGGAACTGGAGTTATAGAGGCTTGTTAGCTGCCCTGTGGGTGCTGGAACTTGAACCCACAAACTCTATAAGAGCAGCCAGTGTTTTTAAAGCCATCTGTAGCCCTGGGAGTTCCCTCTTTTGTCTGGCCAATTTCCTGGTGCTTGGGGCTTTAAGCCCCTTCCATGTTCTCTCTAGACCTAGATTGAAAGTCCAGCTGAGGTCTGAGCAGCCTCCCAGGCTACCTGTGGGAGCTGCTGTGCTATCCTACCTGTGGCTAAGGAAAGAGTTTGGGGGCTCTTTGCCCTCCAGCCTTGCTCTTCTGGGAGTGGTTAAGACTTAAAATTCAGAATTTAAAATCTAGGATACAGTGTTGGTTAGCCACAGAAACTGCTGCAAAGTGCAGTCCCTCCTGGACCTGGGGGCTGCGGGGGAGGCTGGAGAGGGAGAAGGCAAGGCAGAGAGGACTCTGCAAATGGGGTTTTCAAGTGTGGTCTTGAAAAGAGGTTGTCAGAAGCCCACCAAAGGAGTTTCTGCATACAGCGAGGCCTATTGCTCCAGGGCTAAGCCACTTGTGGACCTGTCTCTTCCCTAACCCTAACTCCGGGCTCCAGAGAATCGTCTGCCAGTGGCCTTTCACAAACCAAGGTGCCTCTTGCGGATAATGTACAGGTGAACATCTGGTCTGCATGGAGCAATTCAGCTTGGAGCTGCTCACCTGGGGACCATAATCCAACACATTTCCTCCAAGCTCAGGAAGAACTGTCCAGAAGACCCACAGCCAGTTCACATTTGAATAGTGTCTGCTAGCCTGTCAAGCAGCCTTCTCCAGCTGCCCTTACCCTGGCCCAGCTGTGAACAGGAATTACCATCTCCCATTTTGTAGATGACAGAACTTGAGGTCAGAGAGTCAGCTTCTCTTGACTTACAATGATTTCACTTATCATTGTTTTGCTTCACAATGGTGTGAAAGCAATAGGTATTTGGTAGAAAGCTTACTTCAGATTTTGAATTCAGATCTTTTCCCCAGGCTAACCACAAGAGGTATGATTCCCTCTTGACACTGGGCAGTGGCAGTAAGCCGCAGCTCCAGGTCAGCCCATCATGAGAGAAAATAACTGATATTCTACCATATCCCATGTTGCTGAGTAGGTGTATTAAAGGCATGTTCAGCTCATGATGGGATACACACCAGTGTAAGTTGAAGAGCATTTGTACTTAATTCTCCAGGGTACGTGGTAGATGTATTCCGTCCCCTACCCTCTTGCTTCCTCTTCTGGAGAAGAGGGAAGTGTTTCCCAGCAGGTCCCAGCTGGCTCAGCCTATGGATGAAGCAGGCACTGCCAATTGGGATAATCCAGCTGAGAAGTCAAATGACATGCCCAGTGGTCAGGCGTAGCACCAAAGCCAGGTCTGGGCAGCCTGTTGTTGGCAGTGGGGACATAGGGTGTGACAGGGGTAACCTATAAGAGACACAGCAGATTTAAGCATCTTTGGTGAAGCATGTGCTCTTTCTGCCAGTTCAGCATCCATTCTCTTAAGATAGGTTTCCCTTAGGAATCTTTCCAACCGCTCTTCATAGGTGGGGTTCCAGCAAGCTCTCCTCTCCCAGCAACCTGCACCAGACACAAAGAGGCCCGAAGCCTGACTTGGGGAATTCTATTTGCTGCTGAAGCTACTGCCGCTGAAGTGGGCTTGAGTTCAGATCAGCGTGAGAGGAACACTAGTCAGGTACTGTGGGGATTATTTTCTGTGGGCTCAATAATCCAGGCAAATGGAAGAAGGTCTGAAGTGCTGGGACTGCCTTGAGGGTAGAGCAAGCACAGAGCGTCCAAGCTAGAAGACAGGTGGGCTGACAGGAAGGTTTACACACCTGAGGCTGGGAACAAGCTCCTGACCAGAGGTGCCTGGGATCCACACACAGGGTCTCGGCTAACCCAAGCAATGCAGGTTCTTTGTCTAGGGTTCAATTTTCACTGGGTTTCCAAGAGGAGTCCAGTGAGGCTCAGAGTCCAGGGAACTAAGGCCAGAGCATCATGTCCTGATGGAACACAGATGTGGGAAGCCACAAGAGAGGCTATACACAGAGGCCAGGTGACCAAAGGTGTCCTTGGAGATGGAGGTGCATGGGGGTAAAAGGACAGGGAGAGTCAGGAAACTGAGCCAAGGAAATGAAGGACATTGGTGATGGAACCAGGGACCATAAGGGGAGGTACTGGGAAGGCCCAGGGGTTCTTCAAAGTTAAGACCCTGTGTTTTCACCTGTTAGTTTGAATGAGGGACACCTTACCTCCCCCTGGAGACTCAAGTATTTGAATACCTGGTCAGTTGGTAGCACTGTTTTGGAAGGTCATGGACTCCCTAGGAGGTATGGCCTTGCTGGAGGAAGCTCATCCCAGGGCAGGGGGTGAGAGTTCATAGCCACTACCCATTTCCAATTTGTCTCTCTGCTTCCTGCGCATGCTTGAAGCTCTTTGCTGTCTGCTCCAGCGGCCTCCTGCAATGCCTCCTCAGCCGTGATGGACTCTCATCCCTCTAGAACCATAAGTCCCATAAACTCTTCCTTTATAAGTTGGTATTTTATCACAGCAACAGGAAGGTAACTAATGCCCCACCTTTCACCTAATGCCTGGAGTTATAGCTGGCAGTGGGCAGGGGAAGAGGATGAAGCAGAGTCACTGGGCAGGGCAGGGAGCAAGTCTGGTGACTTTCTGATGAAGCAGATTTCTTTTTTAATATTTATTATTTTTATTTTACATGTATGGGTGTATTGCCTGCATGTGTGTAAGTGCACCTGTGTTGTGCAATGCCCTCGGAGGTCAGAAGAAGGCATCAGATCCCCTAGAACTGGAGTTATGGACAGTTGTTAGCCACCATGTGGGTGCTGGGAATCAAACTCAAGTTCCCTGCAAGAACAGCCAGTGCTCTTAACCACTGAGCCATCTCTTCAGCCCATCTGATGAACCAACTTTCTTTTTTGGCCTTTTTGAGACACAGTATCCCTGTAGCCCCAGCTGGCCTGGAACTCACCATGTAGACCAGGCTGACCTTGAACTCACAGAGAGATGCCTGCCTCTGCCTCCCAAATGCTGGAAATAAAAGGCGTGCGCCCCCACACCTGGCTAAAGCAGCTTTCTTAAGGACTGCAGGAGCTGTCCCTGTAACAAGCATGCAGGCTTACCTCCAAATCCAGGAAAGAGGGGTACAGGAACTGGGTCAGACTCAGATCCCTCCAGAGATTATATTGGGAAGAGGCAGGTGAGTCCTCACACCAGCCTCCCTGTGTCTCTGCCAACAGACTTCAAAGCATGCTCTTTCTAGGCATTATGGTTTAGATAATGTTTGAATGTGTCCCTTGAAGGATCATGTGCTAGAAGCTTGGTCCCCAGTGTGGCAGTATTGAAAGGTGGTGGCACCTTTGAAAAGTGGGACCCAATACAAGATAGATCATGTGGTTCTACCTGGAAGGGGTTAATGCTGGTCTCTCAAGGTTAAGCTAGATCTCATGATAGTGAGTTATTGGAAAGTGAAACCATACCATGTGATCAACCCCTTCTGTATATAGCTGCACTATGTTGTGATGTAGCACGGGAACCCTCACCAATCCCCCAAAAGATTGGGCTACCTCATCTTGGACTTTCAGCCTCCAAATCTGTTTTTGTATTTTGTTATAGCAACACAGAAGAGGCTAATACACCAGATCTGTGCAGGATCTGGCCACCCAAGGATTAAGATCAATTTGTTTTGTTTTGTTTTGTTTTTTTTTTTTTTTTTTTTTTTTTTTTTTTTGTCTTTTTTTGAGACAGGGTCTCCCCATAGTCACAGCTGGCCAGGATTTGCTATGGAGACCAGGCTGGCCTCAAATTCACAGAGATCCTCCTGCCTCTGCCTCCCAAGTGCTGGGACTAAAGACATGTGCCACAATGCCTGGCTGACCACTTTCTTCTTCTGCTGCAGAAAGGGCACAGCCTGGGGGCAGAGATGGAGACTCTGACAGGTGAAATGGCAGGATGGACCTGGAGGTGGTGATCCCAGGAGAGGTCCTGAGCTGGAGAGGATGCCGAGCATACCAGTTTGTGACTCCTTCGGCTTGCCTTGAGCTTCTTAGTAGATTTCAGGCCAGGTTAGTATACAGAGAGGCTGCCAGAGGAACTGGGACACTGGTGCCACTGGAAGCCAGCTCTACCAGGTTGGCAGACAGTAGCGCTAGTAAAGATCTGGGTAGGGGAGTACAATCTGACAACAGCACCCAACAGACATAGCTCCAATATCAAGGGAGAAGAAACGGGCCTTGCAGCACCAGTGGTTTTCGATTCAACACCCTAAAAGACTTCTTGGTTCCCTGCCAGGCTCCTTCAGTGGCCAGCATAATAGACAGAACATCAAGTCAGGTGCCCCATGACTGATGGAATAAATGATTCTGATTTAACATGAACTTATTCTCTTGGAGTTTTTGAGGGCAGAAGTCCAAAATCAGTTTCGTGGCGCTAAAGTCAAGGAGTCAGCAATTTCTTCCTGGAAATTCTGTGGGGGCGTCTGTTCCTGGCCTCTGCCAGTTTCTGGTGGTTGCTGGCATTCCTTGGCTTGTGGCCATGTGTTGCCAGAGTTCTCTCAGGTCTCCTGTGCAATCAGACAAACCATATAACATCTTTTTATGTGAATTTATTATGGTTTATGCCCTTGGGTAGGGAGAGGGTGAATTGGGGGACTTACATAGAAACCCACACCTGACACCCAGCTCTGCAGATCACTTCCACACCCACCCACAGTCTCTGTTAACTTTCACCCACGCATCTTGGGCCTGAAGTCTCACCCCAAGTTGGTAAATGCCCCCTCTTGCGTCCACGCGGGTGAGACCCTGGGGCCATCTTTTTCTCCACGTCCACCACCCCCACATTTGTGGCTCGCTGCTTTCATCACAAGATGGCTCCCAGAAACCCCTCCTTAGTCAATTCTCTGCAGCAGGCCCCGTTGGTAAATGGGGGGACTTACATAGAAACACACACCCGGCACTCAGTTCTGTGCGGCTCAGCCTGCCATTCCAGATCGCTTCTGCGCCTGCCCACAGTCTCCATTAACTTTTGCTCTCACATCTTGGGCCCTCAGTCTTGCCCCAGGTTGGTAAATGCCCCCTCTCGCATCCTCGCGGGTGAAAGGTGAGACGCCAGGGCCATCTTTTTCTCTACACCTGCTGCCGTGCATTCCTGGCAACTCGCCACTTCCATCACAAGATGGCTCCCAGAAGCCCTTCTGCAGGCAGGTCTCTGCAGCAGGCCCTGCCCCTTGGAGGAAACAGGCAGTCTGGGACACACCAAGACACTTCAGTATCCAGCTCTGTGGCAACATCACTGCCTTCTCTTCCACATGTGGTCTCCCCCTGCCACCTTCTTATATGCTTATGACTGCATTTAGGGATTACCTAGATAGTCCAGGATAACTTCCCATCTCAAAATTCTTGACTTCATCATGTCTATAAAGTCCCTTTAGCCTACTCAAGGAAACTTTACAGGTTCCAAGGACTAGGGCCTGAATAGATTGGTGGGTGGGGGGGCATTCCTCTACCAGCCTTAGCTTCCCTTTCTAGGCCTTAATTAAGAGCATTCCTTAGCATGACTGGAATTCTTGGTTGGGCTCCCAGGAGAAGACAACTCTCTGGATCCACAGCCCATCAGTGATTGTGACCAGAGCCTCCACATCACACACTGCCTGAGGATCCCAGGAGCTTGGGGAGCAACGGCTATGGCAGTCCCGGGCTGTGTGGCTTCATGCTGAGAACCCATGCCTCCACTTGATGCAAAGCCTCAAAGAACATGACACTCTCTTGAAGTGTGAAGAGAGTAAGTGGAGTGCTGGTTATGGAACACTGTTGTTTGACTTTTCTTGGGGAGACATGAGGAAATGTCTATTTACCCCAAGTAGGACACCAATGACAGACCACATTGATGACTCCACCCCAGTCTAGCTTGGTGAACTAACACGTTTATTGAGGTTACTTATAGGATGATGAGGTTTACTTAGCAGAGCACTGGTGACTCAAAGGTATCTACAACACTGAAAGACCCACCCCAGCATGAGCAATGACTCATCACAACTGCATCCCTAGAACTCTTTACTCAACTTTCAAACAGCTCCACCAAAGAACTCCTATCCCAGCAATTATTACTAATGTAACCTTGGAGAAGGGCTTTGTGAATCTTGAAGCTTTCTGAGCTTCCTGAGTCCTCTAAGTTTTATGAGCTTCCTGAACCTTCTAAGTTTCCTTAGCATCCCAAGTCTTTTTTTTTGGTAGTCAGACATCTTTTATAGGCACTTAAGTGGTTGGTTAACTTTCTATAACATAGGCTGGGCAATTTAGCCCAGGATTGGTTGGCCTCCCAATAAGCAAAGGAAGTTTCCCAAGGCTAAGTATGAACCTGTCATTTTAGAATGTTGGGAGCTGCATCACCATTTTAGGAGCCTGCCAGGAACTTAACACTCCAGTCTTTTGTTGATGATAAGGGGCAACAGTGGTCTTTCTTTAGCTACTTACTGCTGGACAGGGACATTGGCAAAGGGGGTGGTCTCAAAAGGCTGAACAGTCTGGAGTGCGGAGTTAGGTGGGCAGGTGGTGGTAGGAGATCTGAGAGCTTCCCAAGTCTTAAGAGTCTTCTTCTCTCCAGGGAGGAATGTTTCAATTTGGAAGAAATCATTAAACTACAGATGCAGATTTCTAGGCTCAGGATTGAGAGTCTATGGTAAGCCTGCCAAAGGACTCAGGTTCTGTGGAGACATGGGTACCAGTGGGGTACTGATGAGCTTAGAATTTCCTTGAAAGTCACTATCCTGGTCACTGCTGGCATTCAGGGAAGTTATTTCCTCACCTATGAAGATATGGTCATGAGACCATGTGAACCTTGGGGAAAGATGGCTGAATATTATTTTTCCCAATCTTTTAAGAACAGAAGCAATTATCACTCCAACAAGCAAGCCCTGAAAACAGAGGTGGATCTAGGGACTTTGGGCTGTGTAGATGTTTATCTTGAAGGGAGGCCTTCAATGGTCTCACCCAGGATCTAAGCAGAAGGCCTCCATGACCCCTACTTCCCACCTGGAGATTGGTTCTTCCTACTGTCAAGGTGGCTCTTCCCACCATAGAACAGTGTTGCTGCTTAAAGGAACACTGGCCATCCAGCTCAACTGTCTCTTATGGTTGGTTGCTAGACTGTTGCTGATGTTCCAGTGGCCCTACAAATACTGACAGAGGTGTACCAGGTGCCAGGCACTTTGGGGAACACTTGAGACACCTCAATAAATCAGATTAAAAAAAATCATATCATCATGGAGCTGCCCTTCCAAAGGATGGAGCTGTTAAGACTTTGTCCCTCATGATGGTTAATACTGATTATCCACTTGACAGGATCTTGAATCACTTAGAGACAAACTGGGCGTGTCTGTCAGGGAGTTGTTACAGTGGGTTAATTGAGGTGAGAAGATCCACCCTAAATGTGGGAAGCACCATTCCATGGACTGGAGTCTTGAACTGAATGAAAAGGAGAAAGTGAGCTGACCACCAGCATTCTGTCTCTCAGCTTCCTGACTCTGGGTGCAGTGTGAACAGCCGCCTCACACTCTTGCTGCCATGCCTTCCTTCCTGCCATGATGGTTTTAACCTGGACCTGTGAGACAAAATAAACCCATCTTTCCTAAGTTGCTTTTGTCACAGAAACAAGAAAAGTAGCTAATTCTCCCATTTCCTTTTTGCGAGGACACAGTGGGGGCCGAGGACAGAGAACAAGGTCATTCGTTTACTTTGGTTCCTCCTCTTCTCTCAGGTCCCCAGGGAGGATCTGCTCCCCAGGGCACCCAGGCTCTACTTCCTCATCCCAGGAGTCTCTTTGTCTTGGCTGTTCCTAGTCCTATGAAGACACTGTCCTTCCCACCACAACTTTGTCCTCAGTCAGACCCCAAGTACCAGCTTCCTGCCCATGAGAGAGGAATGTCTTGGACAGGGCACATGTCTAGAAGTTGTGGCTTTACTACACACACTCTACCTGGGGCCAGCTTGATGGACAGACATTTCCTCCTGCAGGCACAGCCTTCCTAATGCTATCTTCTATCTTTCTAGGTGCTTTATTGCTTCTATCCTGGGGAGGGGAGAGAAGGTGGAAGGAGCTGCTCCCTGAGGAGAAGGTGGGACTTGAAGACCCACTGTAGGCAGAACTACCAGTTCAGAGACATGGACTCCAACCATGGAGTGTCTGCCTGCTTCCGTGACCCCCAGCACCGTGTCCAGGCTATGCTCCTTCCCTTTGAGGGCATTTTCCTCTACTTTCTGCTTCCAGTGCCATCATCAGAATGCTACTGGCCACCTACAATGCATCAGGGTTCTTTATAGGCACATGAGATAGAACAGTGACTGACCCAGATGAAGACTGTACCCCATAGAGCTTATACTTTAGGGAAGAAATGTATGTAGTAATAGAGCTTATATTCTAGTAGCAACCTTGTTCTTATACCTAAGCACTTATAAATGTTAGAAATTTATTAACTGGGAAGTGATTTGCACCGAGACAACGCTAACACCTTGGTTTCTATGTAAGCAAACAGTAACCTAGTTCACAGCTAGAAACACAAAGTAAAACCAACCAGAGGGGACTGGAGAGATGGCTCAGCTGTTAAGAATGTATACTGCTCCTGCAGAGGACTCAAGAGCAGTTCCCAGCACACATGTGGAACTGATCACAACTGCCTGTCACTCCAGTTCCAGAAAATCCAATACCCTCTTCTGGCCCCCACAGGCACGCCTCATGTACACTCAGCCTAACACAGACACACGCACACATAATTTAAAAATAAAAATTTTTTAAAAATATAACTAACCAGAAACTGCCAAATAATCAACAATTAGGAATTTTCTAAATACCACCAAGTAACTACAAAACTTCCCAATCAGAAAATGCCAACTAACTACTAAGTGGGGATTTTACCAGTGAGAAGCTACCAGCTAACCTCCAGCTAAAGACTTTCCATTTTAACTAATCAAATAATGTCTTTGTTTTGTTTCTGCCAACACCTTATAAAATCTCCCCCCCTTAAATCACCTCAGTGAGATGCTAGCCCAGTACGGTCTGGTACTGCCTGATTCATGGCTTACTGAATGTTCAGATAAGCTCATTAAGACTTTTATATGCCTAAGTTTGTCTTTTAACACAAGGAAAATATGGTAGCCAGATGGTGTATTTGCAACAGAGAAACAAAAGACTGGGTTAGTAGATGGTTAAGAGTCTGGCCTTCTAAAAAAGATTTTATTTTATGTCTATGAGTGTTTCCCCTTCATGTATGTAAGTGTACCATATGCATACCTGACATATGCAAGAGTAAGAAGAGGGTGTCAGATCCCCTGGAAATGGAGTTATGGACAAGTATTAGCCACCATGTGGATTCTGGGAACTAACTGAAGTCCCCTGCAAGAGCAGTAAGTACTCTTAACCACTAAGCCATCTCTCTAGCCCCATGGGGTCCTGACTTTTATAAGGAATCTGATGAAGCCTTCACAGAACAAAGAATATTTGAGCATAGACACGAGGTAAGCAGGTGAGAAAACCATGCAGTTGTCTGGAAGGAGAGCTGTCCAGACAATAGGAAGGCCAAGTACAAATTCAGAGGCTTAAAGCAGCCCATTCTTAGGAGCTCTCATCCACCAGCCACAGGGCAGGCCCTTTGTTATAGTAGCAAAAAAGCCCATGAGAGAAAATTGGTCAGGAGACTAAGAATATCTGTCCTGGGTGGAACCTTAACTTTGGAGTTTTGTGGAGTCAATCACAGGACCTGGTCACAGGACCACCTTAGGAAAGTGGGTTCACCTTAAGTCATGTTCAAGAGATAGGTGGGATACCCAGTGCATTAACGAGATGGTGAACCTTTCCTGCCTGGAATCCCTGCCCTCTTCAGGGCAGCTGCTGAGATCTACATCTTGCCTGTCCTGAGGGTTTTTCTTTAAATTCTAATAAAATTGTCCTAGAGCTTCCATTTGTGTCCATTCTTAAATTCTTTTATGAATGAGACTAAGAACTCTGAAAGAGGAGCCCATTTCCCCTGTATCACCTCCTGGTTCAGCCATAGTGCCCATTGCTGGTCACAGGATTGGTCTTCAGAGTGGGAGAACTTGCCACCCAAGGCAAGTGCTAGGTGCTTCTTACAGTTGGAGAGGGAAGAAACCTCGCTTCCTCTGATCTGGAACCAAGAGCTGGGACTGACATCTCTCCACCCAAGGGAGCATCTGGTCTGAATGAATGAGGTCAATGGAAGCAATGGAGAGGGGAGGATGCTGGCCTTGGTGTCACTGATCCCAGTTGTCCTTAAGGCTGCCTTCTTCCTGCCCTTCCTGTATCCAGAAGCTTATTAGAGTTGGCTTTTAAATTGTTTACATTTTAAAAATCTGTAATTATGTTTTGACATTAAAAAAGAAAAATGGACACAGTAATTAAAAGTACCAGACTGGTGGAACTAACCTTCTTGGATGTTTAACAGACATACTTTGAGGCCTATAATAATTTGGTCAGAGGGACATAAAGGACAGTTTTTGATCCTTGCCCTCCTAAGTCGACTAGTTCCAGGGGACTATGAGCATCTCTCAAAATATCCTGTAATTGTGGTGGGTCACCTGTCCTCTTGATCTAGGAGGCCAAGGAGACCCTACCAGAAGGACTTGAACCAGTGTCCAGTCTACAAAGAGGAAGGTCAACATAGAGGAATCATTTCCTCCATGCTTCCCAGTGAAGCCAACCATGGTCAAGTAGGACCTTTGACTTATCTTCACATAGGCAGAACTGGTAAAAGAAAGGAGCCAGGGGCTCCTCCCAAGCCCATGTGACCCCCGAGGAACAGCTCCTCAAATGACCTTAAGAGTAAAAAATTGGTTTATCTGGGCCAACTGTATGGCCTTAAACACCCAAAAGGAAAGTACAACCAAAGATTAAAGAGGCCAATATAATTTTTTAAGAGTCCATATGTATAGCTAAAGGCTACG